CTAAACTGGGGGCAATGCCTCGATCAAAGCCTCAAGTACTGATCTGAGCATTACTGTCCAACTTTCAAAAGCCTCAAAACTGACCTGAGTCCTCCCAATAACCTTAAATCTGACTTGAGTAAATTTCAAGCCTTGATCTTGAGCATCACCAGAAACCTCAAATCTGACCTGGGTACACTTCAAATCTCAAGACTGACCTGAGTCCACCCGGATCCTCAAATCTGAACTGAGCGTCACCGATCACCAAACGCCTTAAAACGTAAGCAACTCAAATAACGACTCGAATGTCATTGTATCCTTTAAGCCCGACCTAAGCAAGCACTAACCTTTCTTTTTTACTATTTCTTTTAGAGAACAAAGTATGTCTAATCCCACTACGGAATTAAGACAGATGATCATTGACATGTTCCGAGAGCAAGAAACCCACTTCCGAAACATGCTCATTGAACAACTAGACAAACTCCAAGCTACCATGAATGCACCCAAAGTTTAAGGAAGCAAGAACACCAATAATCAAGTAAAGAAGAACAAGATAAACGCCACAACGAGTTGATAAGTTTACCTTAAATTCTTGATGCAACAAGATAAAAACAAGATAAACGCCACAACGAGTTGATAAGTTTACCTTAAATTCTTGATGCAATTAGAGGTAGCAATCTCTCACTATCACTCTAGGCAAAGAAACAAGGAAAGCTTGATTTGTATTTGAAGTTGTTATTCAAGTTATGAATTGTTTACAATGGAAGCACCTATTTATACTAGAAAATGGAAGACTAGGCCTAAAATCAAGCCTACAATCAAGGCTAAAATCAAGCTTTAAAATCATGCCTAAAATCAAGGCTAGAATCAAGGCTAGAATCATGCCTTAAATTAAGGCTATAATCAAAGCTAAAGTCAAGCCTAAAATCATACCTTAAATCAAGGCTAAGATTATTCTAACCAATATGGCCCATATGGGCTCAATTAAATACAAAGCCCAAACTAATTAATTAAAACAAGTCCAACTTAAATATTAGTTAATCTAGGGCTGGCCCAACTTTGGAATATCAACTTTGGAATATAAGCCCAACCAGCCTTATTAAATCCACTGTAAACAACTTAAACAAAATAGGATAAATGGGCCACAAGCCCTACATGCCCCATACAAATTAGGGTCAGACTCTAGCACGGCTTGGGCATGCTTCACCTTCATCACTTGCCTCCAACAACGTGAGTGGCCTAGGTCTTCCCTCGAGTTCCACACAACACCTATCAAAAGCGTCTTCCCTCGAGTTCCACACAACACCTATCAAAAGCTTGATCATGTAGCTCTTGTGAAACTCGGTCTTGGATATACAAGGACATGGCTGCCCCATATCGCTTGGCACGGCTCCGTGTAATCGATCCACTAGGAAGCGCCAACGGATCTCCTACGTTGTTCTTCATGCTTCCTGGAGCTTTATTAACGAGTGGTGGCAGATTCGTATCATTCCCCCTTTCCTGGAAAAGATTTGTCCTCAAATCTGCATCCATGTCAAAAAGAGACAAATCACTAACATTATAGGTAGCGGAAACACCATACTCACCAGGTAAATCTATCTTGTAGGCGTTGTCATTAACGCGCTCTAAGACTTGGAATGGACCATCTCCACGTGCATCAAGCTTAAACTTCCATTAGTTGGGAAACCTCTCCTTTCGAAAGTGTACCCAAACCCAATCTCCAGGCGCAAATACTAGCTTCTTTCTTCCTTTGTTTGCCCTGTCAGCATATTGTTTGTTCCTCTTTTCGATATTTGATCGAGCCTTCTCATGTAAGGACTTCACCAATTCAGCCTTTTTATCACCATCTAAACTAGAAAGCTCATGTAAAGGTAAAGGGACAAGATCCAAAACAGTTAGCGGGTTAAATCCATAAACAAGTTCAAATGAAGAAAAACCTGAAGTATAATGTATGCTATGATTATATGCAAATTCAGTAAATGGCAAACAATCCTCCCAAGTTTTTAAATTTTTACCCACAATAGCACGTAATAGAGTTCTTACAGTCCTATTCACAACTTCAGTTTGTCCATCTGTTTGTGGGTGACTAGTAGTAGAATAAAGCAACTTAGTACCTATCTTACCCCACAAAACTTTCCAAAAATGTGAAAGGAACCTAGTATCCCTATCAGAAATGATGGTTCGCAGTACCCCATGTAATCGTACCACTTCTCTAAAGAATAAATCAGTAACATGAATGGCATCATCAGTTTTATGACAATGAATGAAATGAGCCATTTTGCTAAACCTATCAACCACTACAAATATGCTATCTCTACCATGTCTAGTCCTAGGTAAACCAAGCACAAAATCCATACCATAGATTATATCAACACAAGGTGTACTCGGAACTGGTTAAAGACATCACAACCCATAAGGCATAGACTTAGATTGGCCTGTTTACAAAGCAAGACAAGATCCGCCAAACTTTCTCGACATCTTTAAGCATTTAGATGAGGCCAATAAAATGTTTCATTCAACATGTCATAAGTGCTTATGTACCCCAAAATGTCCCTCCAATCCCCCACAATGCAGACTCAAGCACAGCAAATCAACGCATAGAGCATTTAGGCAACGCATAGAGCATTTAGGCACACAAAGTTTGCTGCCCTTAAATAAATATCCCTCATGTCGATAAAATTTATCAAATGCTCCATGTTCACATGCCAAATACACATTGTCAAAATCAGAATCAGACACATACAAATCCTTAACATACTCAAATCCTATCAGCTTAGAACTAATAGTAAGCAAAGCATATCTCTTGGACAATGCATCAGCAACAATGTTATCTTTCCCATGCTTGTACTTAATTACATAAGGGAATTGTTCAATGAACTCAACCCACTTACAAAGTCTTTTGTTGAGCTTACCTTGACCCCTCAAGTGCTTTAAGGCTTCGTGATCGGTATGAATGACAAACTCCTTAGGTAGTAAGTAGTATTGCTATACGTTCAAAGTCCTCACTAAGGCATATAGCTCCTTATCATAGGTTGAGTAATTGAGTTGTGCTCCATTCAACTTCTCGCTAAAGTAATTCAACTTCTCGCTAAAGTAGGCAATTGGCTTCTTCTCTTGCATCAGCACTGCTCCAATTCCTACACCAGAAGCATCACACTTAATTTCAAAAGTATTCTCAAAATTAGGTTAAAAAAGTATAGGAGCTGATGTCAACTTCCCTTTAAGCGTGTCAAACGCTTTCTGCTGTTCCTCACCCCCATTTGAATTTAACTTCCTTTTTAATTACCTCTGTGAGTGGTGCTGCAATTGAAGAGAAACCTTGCACAAACCGTCACAAACCGTCTGTAGAAACTCGCCAACCCATGGAAACTTCGCACATCTAAAACTGATTTGGGAGTCGGCCATTCCTTGATAGCTTTCACTTTCTCCTCATCCACTTCAATACCCTACGCACTCGCAACAAAACCAAGAAACATAAGTCTATCTATACAAAATGTGCACTTCTTAAGCTTAGCATACAATTGGTCAGTTCTCAAAGATTGTAATACTAGTCTAACATGCTCAACATGATCATTCAAAGACTTGCTGTATACAAGTATATCATCAAAATATACAACTACAAATTTTCCTAAGAAAGCATAAAAACATTGCGTTCATAAGGGCCTCATGAAAGTAATAGGCGCATTTAGACAATCAAAAGGCATCCCAAAAGGCATCACTAACCATTCATACAAGACATACTTAGTTTTGAAAGCTGTTTTCCACTCATCACCTGATTCCATTTGAATTTGATGATAACCGCTCATTAAATCAATCTTTGTAAAGTAAGTAGCCCCACACAACATCTAACATATCATCGAGTCTAGTGATAGGGTGTCTATACTTTACCGTGATTTTGTTGACCGCCCTGCAGTCAACGCGCATTCATCACGTTCCATCCTTCTTAGGTACTAAAAGTATTGGAACGGCACAAGGACTCATCTCTCGCACCAATCCTTTCTCCATAAGTTCCTCAACTTGCCTCTGCAACTCCTTTCTCTCCATTGGATTGCTTCTATAAGCTGGGCGATTCGGAATGGTGGAGCCGGGAATGAAGTCAATCTGATGTTCTATCCCTCTCAAAGGTGGTAATCCACTTGGCAACTCTTCTGGAAAAACATCAGCGAACTCCTATAACATAGAAACAAACACAAAAAGGTAAACCATCAAGGTTAGTGTGAGTGTTAGAAAACAAAATCGCCTTGAACCTAAGAAGCAACACGGGCTGCCTCAAAGCTATGGCACACTTAACCTCTCTAGCTCTTGCATAAAATGTGTGTTTCTTTCTCTCCCCTCTCGGTGTTTCACTCACTATTGGGCCATTAATTTGTTTGGTATCTTTTGCTGCCTCTTTCTTTTCACTCACTATTGGGCCATTAATTTGTTTGGTATCTTTTGCTGCCTCTTTCTTCTCAACCTCACTTTTAACACTCTTTTGTTCTCTAGAACTTGAAGCCTCACTCCAATTTTCCCTCAAAGCTGAAGCCTTTCTCTCTCTCTCAAGCATCTTCTTCTGATCGGCATACACTTCTTAAGGTGATAATCAAGGCGATTCTGGATAAGGGAATTGGGTATGTCGGCCCGTTGGAAGCCGACGCGGGGAAAAATCGGCCTCTTTTAACCTATGTTTTCTAATTTATTTTAGTTAGAAAAGCCAATTTATTTATTTAAACCCAACTCGAACGAATCGAACTGAGTTCTTATTGGAAAATAATTTAATCGTCCCAAACAAGTTCATTTATTGCATCCACAATCATTCAAACCATTCAAACCATCCAGCTTAAAGCAGTTAAATCAAAATAAATAAAAGACTCGCTCTTGCCTTATGGTTAAAGACGGGCTATAAACCAGACCTAAAAAGTGCATTCTACCCAATTCGAAATTAAACCCGAAAACCCTAAAACCCAAAGTCATGCATCATTACATTTTAATATTCTAAATTTAACTAAATTATAATCTGTTCATGATTGGTCATTTAACTAACGATTCTCCATGTTTAGCAAACAACAGATTATGCTCATCCACATCCAAAATATCATTATCATCATCATGCAAATGTGGCACATCATCAGAATCACTATATTCAGATTCAGAACTAATATCCCCATCATCCTTAGCAATCATAAGCCTCTTATTAGGACACTGAGATGCAATATGCCCTTTACCTAAATATTTAAAGCATTTAATCTCTCTAGAAGGGTTATAGGATTAGAAGTACCTTTGTTACCCTTGAATGTAGATTGGGCAACCTCTTTACCTCTGGACGATGATTCTGCCCTTTGGGAACTATTGCTTCTGAAATCTCTTCTGTCACCTCCTTTGGACCATTTAGATCCAGAAGTATTGCTAGAATACTTGTTGGTGAACTTCCCCTTTTTCTGTCTCTCTAACTTCATTGTCATATCTACCATTTCTTCAATTGTATCACAGTGATACATCTCCAAAGCATCGGCAATCTCACTATTCAGACCTCTAAGGAACCTGGACATGGTGATTTCTTCAGTTTCTTCAATTTTAGCTCTAGCTATGCACATCTCCATCTCCTTGTAGTAAGCTTCTACACTTTTCCCTCCTTGCACTAATCTTGCCAATTTGTTGTGTAAGTCCCTAAAGTAATGAGCAGGGACAAACTTCTGGTGCATTAATTCCTTCATAGTCTCCTGAGCAGGGACAAACTTCCTGGTGCATTAATTCCCTTCATAAGTCCTCCCATTTGCGAAAACGGGTCGGCATTCCCTTCTTTGCCTCGCTTCAACAACAACTGTTTCCTTGCACTAATCTTGCCAATTTGTTGTGTAAGTCCCTAAAGTAATGAGCAGGGACAAACTTCTGGTGCATTAATTCCTTCATAGTCTCCCATTGCGAAACGGGTCGCATTCCCTTCTTTCCTCGCTTCAACAACAACTGTTCCCACCAAAACATTGCATACCCCTTGAATTCAATAGCTGCAAGGTGAGACTTCTTCTCCTCCGAGTAATGATGGCACTCGAAGATCTGCTCAACCTTCCTTTCCCATTCAAGATATTCTTCTGCGTTGTTGTTACCATAGAACTCCGGAATCTTCATTTTAATGGATCCCAAGTCACCATCAACTGTACTAACTTCAAGATTATCGACCTCATCATCGTTAGGAATTTGAAATCTAGTTGGTGGAGTATTATTTATACGAGCTCTTGTAGTATTTGAACTTTGGGCGGCTTTGATCTCCTGCAACTCCTCTCTCATATCTTGGAGGAAATTGTTGTAGCTTCTAAATTGCCCTTGAATTGATTCCATAAAGAGCTTCAATTGGGGATCTTGAAGTTGATTCCCTTCCCCACTAGTTTCTCCAGACTTTCCTGTATTCATGGTTAGTACTCAAAGAAGTAATCACAAAGAAATAAGGTTAAAGTGAAGAAAACACTACCTCACATGTTTACACTCCTTACCACTCTTTGCAAATCCTCCAATTGTACTTCAAAATTCCATGCCAACCAACTAATCTCAAAGTACGTTTAAAAACTCAAGGAAATAAAACCTTAACAAGAAAAGCAAGCACAATTCTAGAGAGGAAAGACTCAACGAAATCGAATGGTAGCACAAGAACAGGAACAATGTACTACTTGATTAGCAATTACAGTATAGTAAACAAGCAAATACACCCTAACAATGTAAAGAAGCAAAGATAGCATACAAGAATTAAGAAACTAGAATCAAAGAAGACGAACTCTAGATATAATAGATGAATTTAGTTCACCACAAAGCAAACTAAACATGGACCTATTTAATTCTACGCAAACAAAGTAAGCAAGCAATAAAAACAAAATTTCAGATTTGACATAGAATTATAGTGATAACCAGATTCACTTGATGTCATAAGTTGATTAATTTTAACTCTAAAAGTACATGCTTGTGCAAATAAGTGTAATATAGGCTATCCTAAAAAAATAATTAACTTTTCCAGCAATGACTTTATATTTTCTTAAGATAAGATCCTAAATCAAATCAAATATTCTGTCTTTAATTAAGTGTGAGATAGGCTGTCAATAAGTTCCCAAATCAAGTCAAAATATTCTACCCATTTTTTTTTAAAACAGATCTGATTAAACAAATCTAAAGCCAAACAAAGAGAAAAAAATTACAATCTTGAATTAATCAAAAGGATAACTAGAAAAACGTGGTAAACAACAAGAATATCCAAAGAGAAAAAGTTTAGATCTAAAATGAAATCAAGTACTAAGACAACACCAAAGGAAATCCAGCAACTAGAAAACTCAAATTCCTAAACTAAGATAACAGAACTTACCTCAATACTTTGATTTGGCTCTTGATAAGGGACTGGACTCCTAACTTCACCTCAAAAGCTAGCTCGTAGAGGAATAAATGAACTCAGCCTTATACACTAGCCCAAGATGTATTCCGCGGGCTATGTGGGACGCATCATCCCCACACCCATAAGACTCAACTGCCTCAGTCGGCGTTCTGAAGAACCCCATGAGACACCGACCCTATAGAGCCAGAGCTCTAATACTAAATGATAAGGGACTAGACTCCTAACTTCACCCCAAAAGCTAGCTCGTAGAGGAAGGACTGAACCCAGCCTTATACACTAACCTAGGATGTACTCCGCGGGCGATGTGGGACGCATCATCCCCACCCCCATAAGACCCGACTGCCCGCGGGCGATGTGGGACGCATCATCCCCACCCCCATAAGACCCGACTGCCTTTGTCGGCGTTCTGACGAACCCCATGAGACACCGACCCTATGAAGCCAGAGCTCTGATACCAAATGACAAGGAACCTAAAAGGAAATGAATTCCTAGAACCCCTAATCGGGTGGATCGGATCAAAGATTGAGATGAAATTCTCCTCTATGACACCCAAAGCTTAAGGAAGCAAGAACACCAATAATCGAGTAAAGAAGAACAAGATAAATGCCACAACGAGTTAATAAGTTTACCTTAAATTCTTGATGCAATTAAAGGTAGCAATCTCTCACTATCACTCTAGGCAAAGACACAAGCAAAGCTTGATTCGTATTTGAAGTTGTTATTCAAGTTGTGAATTGTTTACAATGGAAGCACCTATTTATACTAGAAAATGGAAGACTAGGCCTAAAATCAAGCCTAAAATCATGCATAAAATCAAGGCTAGAATTATGTCTTAAATTAAGGCTATAATCAACGCTAAAGTTAAGCCTAAAATCATACCTTAAATCAAGGCTAAGATTATTCTAACCTGTCACGCTTGACTCTAATCACCAGAGGAATTGTCCATTTTGGATCAAGCCAAATCCCCCATACAAGATTGGCAAGACCCGCACGGTTTTGTCTCGCAGGTGAAATGAGAAACTTCCCAGGAGGTCACCAATCCTAGGATTTCCGTTAAGGTAGCACGCTTAACCCTGTAGTTCTTCTAACTCTCTAGCCATTCCACCAAAAGGCTCCACCAAAAGGCGCCTCGTTAATGATTAGTTTGTCCCTTTCAATATATTGATTCGATTCATTCCCTGTGTGGTCCGCGCATTCCACTACCCTACGCTACTTGCATTCTAGAAGCTTAAGCCAGGAGCTTTGGCTCTACCCGCCCTCTTAGGATCCGCTTTGCGGGTCAGGATGTCACAGGCCGCACCAGCTTCTTCGTTGGTTCGTCCCTCGAACCATACATTTATCTGGAGGGGGTCCGGCTCTTATAACCACACTGTCACGCCCGACTCTAATCACCAATTCTCAACTTCTACTACTTAATTCTAACTATTCCATGGTTTTAATTAGTAAGCTTGGTGTAATTTGGAAGGTAGAATGAAAAAAAAAATGAAAAGGAAAAGGAAACAGATGTAAAATGGAGTTGGGAGAAAAGAGAAAGAGAAAAAGAAGAAGTGTTACTGTAGGTGGTGATACTTTAAGGTGCAAAAGTCAAAATGTACTTCCTAATTGTAAATGCCAAATGTGTGGCTAAGATCAAGTCCTTAAGTAATATGCTCATCCAATGGCTTTTAAATGATTCCTCAAATATATTCCTCTTCTACTTATTATTTAATCCACCTAATTAAAAAATATAAATAATAAAAAAAATAAAAAAAAAAATAAAATTAACTCCACTATCAAGAATTGCCTCGAATATTATTTCTATATACACACTAGAAATAAAATTTATTGTAATACATAAAACCTCCAATTAATATATTCATGGAATATTTTCATTTACCCGCACTAATCATGCAAACATGCCCAAAACATGGTAGAATTAACAAGAATTAAATATTGTCATAGCAATTTTTTCCGGACTACCCATATATACCAAGTCCCGGACCGATAGAGACACGAGATTTTCTTGCGAATGGTTCTGGAGAAGTTACATGAGGCTTGGGTGACTAGACTGGCATTTTTCCAGTACAGCTTTTCATCCTCCAGACAGATGTCAGTCAGAGCAGGTTAATAGACAGTATTTTAGAGGAATATGCTGAAGCCTCTCGCACATCTATTTGAGTTGAGTGGTAAGTTTGGGAGAAGTCATCACTAACTTGCGGAATTTGCCTACAATATACAGTTATCAATCGAGCACATTTCAGATGGCTCCATCTTCGATTGCACTATATGTGCAGGAAGATGTAGGACTCCACTATGTTGGTCAGGTGAGTGAAGGGCCAAGATTATATGGTCCTCAGATTTGATATCGAAGAGAGCAAAGGATAGGTGAGAATTATCTAAAGATAGAATTAAAAGCAAGTCTTCAGATCGTCAGCATAGTCCTATTCAGACCTTGAGAGAGGAGGAATATAGAGGTATGTCAGTGGGTGATAAGGTTTTCTTAGGTATCTCCATGGAAGAAGGTGGAAGAAGGTATTACGATTTGGAAGAAAGGGTAAGCTTAGTCCTAGGTTTATTGGTCCATATGAGATCATTGAGCGTGTGGGTCCGTTGGCCTATAAGACTAGCTTTACCACCAGACCTGGATAGAATACATAATGTCTTCCACGTATCTATGTTGAGGAGGTATCAATCTAACCCATCGCATGTGATATCAGTTGAGTCTGTTACCATAGAGCCAGATTTAACTTATGAGGAGGAACCGGTAAGGATACTTGCTAGAGAGATTAAAGAATTAAGGAACAAGAGAATTCCTCTAGTAAACGTTCTTTGGAAAACTCACAAGACCGAGGAAGCAAGCTACATGGGAGAGAGAAGATGACATGCGACAGCAGCATCCTCAGTTATTTACACCAGGTAAAATTCGAGGACGAATTTTTTTTTTAAGGGGGGAGAACTGTAACAGTCTGATTTTCTTTTAGTGTCAGAAATAGTGCTTTAACGGTCTGTGAATAGTACCATCGGTCCGAGACTTGGTATTATCTTAGTCCGAAAAAATTACTATGCATATTTAATCTTTTATTTACGATTTTTGAAGCATATTTGCATGATTTAGGCGGGTAGAAAATATTTCATGAATATTAATTGTAGAGTTTATGTATTAAATGAATATTATTTCTAGTGTGGTAGATTAAGAAATAAATGAGGAATTCTTGTAGTGGAGTTAATTTAATTAATTGGTGGAATTTAATTAATTGGTGGAGTTAAATAATAAATAGATGAGAATTATTTGAATAATATTTAAAGCCATTGGATGAGATTACTTAGGGCTTGATCTTAGCCACACATTTAGCATTAAATTAGAAAGTACATTTTGACTTTTGTCACTTTAAAGTTATCACCACCTAAGCAACACTTTCTCTTTCTTCTCTTCTCCTTCTCCAACGCCATTTTCATCTTCATCCTCTTCCTTCATTTTTTTTCATTTTCTTACCTCCAAATTACCACCAAGCTACCTAATTAAACCATGGAATAGTACTTAATTCTTAAGAATTAAGTAGTAGAAATTGAGATTGGTGATATTAAGTAGTAGAAATTGAGATTGGTGATTAGAGTCGGGTGTAGCATAACCAATATGGCCCATATGGGCTCAATTAAATACAAAGCCCAAACTAATTAATTAAAACAAATCCAACTTAAATATTAGTTAATCTAGGGCTAGCCCAACTTTGGAATATAAGTCCAACCAGCCTTATTAAATCCACTGTAAACAACTTAAACAAAATAGGATAAATGGGCCACAGGCCCCACATGCCCCATACAAATTAGGGTCAAACTCTAGCACGGCTTGGGCGTGCTTTACCTTCCTCACTTGCCTCCAACAACGTAAGTAGCCTAAGTCTTCCCTCGAGTTCCACACAACACCTATTGAAAGCTTGATCATGTAGCTCTTATGAAACTCGGTCTTGGATATACAAGGACATGGCTGCCCCATATCGCTTGGTACGGCTTCGTGTAATCGATCCACTAGGAAGCGCCAACGGATCTCCGACGTTGTTCTCCATGCTTCCTGGAGATTTATTGACGAGTGGTGGCGGATTCGTATCATTCCCCCTTTCCTCGAAAAGATTTGTCCTCAAATCTGCATCCATGTCAAAAGGAGACAAATCACTAACATTAAAGGTAGCTAAAGGCTAGCGGAAACACTTATACTCGCTAGGTAAATTCGTATCATTCCCCCTTTCCTCGAAAAGATTTGTCCTCAAATCTGCATCCATGTCAAAAGGAGACAAATCACTAACATTAAAGGTAGCGGAAACACTATACTCGCTAGGTAAATCTATCTTGTAAGCGTTGTCATTAACGCGCTCCAAGACTTGGAATAGACCATCTCCACGTGTATCAAGCTTAGACTTCCGTTGGTTGGGAAACCTCTCTTTCCAAAAGTGTACCCAAACCCAATCTCCAAGTACAAACACTAGCTTCTTTCTTCCTTTTTTTGCCCTGTCAACATATTGTTTGTTCCTCTTTTCGATATTCGATCGAGCCTTCTCATGTAAGGACTTCACCAATTCAGCCTTTTTATCACCATCTAAGCTAGAAAGCTTATGTAAAGGTAAAGGGACAAGATCCAAAATAGTTAGCTGGTTAAATTCATAAACAAGTTCAAATGGAGAAAATCCTGAAGTAGAATGTATGCTACGATTATATACAAATTCAATAAATGGCAAAGTAAGAGTCATGTTGAGCCCTAGCCAAAATGGTTCACCACAGAACCCTCTTCCACCTCTAAACTAGAACATGGAGCTCGATGAGAATAACCTCCACCAAATCCCACCAATCGAAGATATTGGCAACCTGACCGCCGATGACCCAAAACTTGAAGGTGCCACCACCTCCAACATCACTACCCCTCTACCTCTAATCACAAAGCGAGGCCCTGAGCAATCCTCTCCTTCATTCTTCACAAGGTGGAGTGGCATAGCTTCCCAAATGTTGAATCCCAGCCTGAAAGAACCATTGCAAGCTCTTCCTCCACCCCCGAGCCGAAATATAGGGTCGGGAGAAGATCACTTCAACCCACAATACTACCATAACATGGAGATGGGTCTTGCTTGGCACAATCTTCAAACTATGAGATAAAGGCCAACAGAACCCTCCTCCTCATCCCTTGAGAAGTGGAGAGGCAAAGCTCCTCCTCCCACCCCAAGACCAGTTCGCCAACACACTAACTTACAAGCACCATTATCTGTCTTCTACCTAAAAGCCCTCAAGGACAACCTCATCAAGCCTTTTGCACCAAGAGCACCACCCATAATACTACCTAGGGGTTATAATGTCAATGCTTACTGAGCATTCC